TGGAAATAGTGTACTACAGCGTACTTCAGCTTATGCTGAAGGCAAGGGTACAACTTCATAGCTCCCTTCCATTAGTGGCTGGTCTTGCAGGATTTTCTTTTGTTTTTGGTTGGGGTTTTTTTTTTTTGTTTTGCTTTAACATATTTCTTTAATATGCTTCTGATAAGAACAAGGTCAGAAGTGAGAGCTTTAGCGGGCGTGGGAATGGGAAGGGAGGAAATGGTTCGGCAAACAGCATGAAAGAGCTGTGCAACTGGACGGGGAAGACAGAAGTTGGCATGGAGAGAAGGGGAGTTGGAAAAGAGATGGGACCAGAGATGTACAGAAGTGTGGGGCCAAGTGAGAAAAGGCCTGGCAACTGCCCTAACTTTAGACGCACGAGGGCTAGATCTTCAGAGTTTCATCACCTGCTGGGAAGCACAGACTTGCCAGTTCAAGCACCCAGCACTTCCCACTCTGACACCCAGGGCCAGGATTTTCTGGAACCAACATGTACCCAGCGTACAGACCTTGGTGTGAAATCTAGCTCAGGGTGTGGAAGACCCACAGTAGAATAAAATCTGCACATCACAGCTGCTAACCCGCAACATTTTCCCTGACAAAATCTTTGCGATGTTCAACCCGTGCTTCCCCTAGTAGGCGAGCGAGAGAGAGAGACCGATGTGCTGGGGAAACAGAAAGGCCCTGCCACAATTTCATTTTGTAAATTAGAATCAACTGGAAGCTGTTACTTTGGATTAGTTTCTGCATCCGCTGCCTCAATTATGTGCCAAGAGGCAACGGGGCATTTAGCAATAGACTGCTGAACAACCCCAGCTCTCTGGTGTTCACCTAGATGGCAGAAGGCTGAGTGTATATACCTGACAAATGTAGCAGTAATTGCCCTGAAATGCACTGTCTAGAAAGTAGACATACAAACAGAACAAGCAGTTAGGCCCATTTAGAAAACATTATCTATTGGCTCCTAAATAACATAGGCAAAGACACACACACACACACACACACACACACACACACACACACACACACACACCCCCCATGACATCACTGAGAGCCCATCAGAAATGGTGCCTGTCACACAGATCCAATCAAACAATTGCTCCCAGATGTTGCACAGCCTTACTAAAAAAATGCAAAGCCTTCCTAGTGACCCACCAACTGTGTGCAAACTGCTGGCCTGGGGAGCACTCAGCTAGTTCTCAATTGGCAGCTACCTCTAGCCAATTCTTTCCAGATTCTCAATACCCACAGGGAGGCCATGCCTGGACTGAGGACAAGGAAGTATTTCAGGGGCTGCTGCTGTAGCTGCTGCAAAATCTAGAGGTCACATGCATTCTCATCCCTGTGGGTGGGTTTTCCTCAGCCCAAATGCTCAGCAAAGCCCTAAGCCTGCACGCACGCGAGTACATGAATAACTTTACCAACGTGAGTTGCTCCGCTAAACCCAAGGGCAGCTACGCATGGCAGTAAAATGATAGATGTGCTTCAGTGTTTGCGGGTCCAGAGCCCAAGTAAGTTATCCCATACAACAGAGAAGCTTAAAAGGGATTTATTGTGTTGGTTTATTTTAAATTAAACCCGGACACATGCCTCTAGATCCTCAGAAGAGCCTAGTGCAGGGGTCAACAATGTTTTTGGGCAGAGTGCCAAAAACACATGCAACCTTGATCTGCGAGATGCTGGTGTGCCAGGGTGGACAACTGGAGAGCTGCAAGGGGCCTGATCCTTCTTGTGATAGTGCAGTCCCAGCACCTTCCCAAGGTGCAAGTGCCAAGCAAAATGCCTTCATGTGCTATGCTCTCACGTGTGCCAGGGGTTGCCTAATGCCTACCCCTGGCCCAGCAAAGCCATCTGAGGTGCCCAAAAGGGGCCCGATTCTCAGAAGGCTGGCTCTCAGTACTTTGTGAAAACCACGCTCTCTTTGAAGGGTTGCAAATTGGGCACCCAAAAAAAAAGGTATCAGTAGTCACTTGAGAAAGCCTTGGATCCCGATCATAAAAAGTGCTGGTGGAATACTGTAAGATCTGTAGCGCTTAAGTGATCAGGAGGAATGAAGTATGCGGGAGGGGGGTGCATGTGTGTATGGAAAGCAGTGGAGTCTAGCAACAGAAACAACAGAGAATTCAAATAATTGTACTACATAACACTCTGGGTTATAGATAAAGCTTTATTTCACAAATACCTTCCTCCAACTAGCTTGCACGCTTCAAATGGTCTTTACAACCTCTTTCAAACACCTGATCAGATACACTGAGCAGAAAACAAAGTTGTTTGCAAGCCGTCTGAGATTAGGAATTGAGGTTTGGGAGTTTGCCTGGGTCTGTTTTAATTTTCAAAGAGTGTACTGTGCATGTTAAACTGATTAAGCAGCAGCCTAGCCAAAGAGAGAGCGGGAATGTAATTTAGAGTCATGTTGCGAGAAAAATAGAAAGTTAATTTGCGATTTAGCTCACAAAAGGAGAAGGTCGCACTCTTCCCTCTGGTGTGTTGGAGGAGTTGTGTCATAGTTCTTATGAGAGTGCTGAAGAAAGGCGACAGGCACCAAAATGGGCTTACTGGGGGCTCCAGAAAACAGGTTAATGAAAGCGGTAATAGATAAGAGAATTCATTCTCTTAGCAGCATAGTCCATAAGTAACATGCCCTTTTTTGATAAAGCAAGACATCCTGCAGATTAAAACAAATATCCTCAAAGGTTTTGATCCAGAGGCCAATGAAGCCAGAAGAAAAACTCCACCAATGGACTTTAAATTAGGCCTCCAAATACCTTTCATCCTCCTGTTGCTGCTCTATGAGCTACTAACATGCACAACAGATGAACAAATAGACCAAGCAATGCCTGCTGCTTCCTGTTCATTCACTTGCACGCTCTCCAATGCCACAAGCCTGGAGCTGGTTGGCATCCAAACACCCTTACAGATCAACGCATGAACAAATGAATGGGAGCCAAGGAACCGTGGTATGAAAAGTCATCGTTACAACTCCAAGGCAGCAGCTGGATGTGCCTACAAGAACCCAGCACCCTTATGGGTTGCATTTAAGTCAGGAGTCTGCCCAGCTACAACAGTTTGCTAGAGCCTGGCCTATGGCAGAGTAAGGGAATTCCAGGTACCGGTTACAACAGTCAGGAGTTGGGATCCCCTAGATTACTGCCAGGAAGGAAATACTGCTGTGGTTAAGGACAGTAGGGCGACAGTCCTTCGGTGGCAGGCGCCTAACCTGCAGAGTCTGAAATCCTGTGCAGACTGTCCTTGAATTTACAATGCCACTGATGGAGAAATCACTATTCTTTCCTGGGCGGGATGCAATGGAGTCGCCCACCAGCCTGCAACCGGACTCTGGTAAAATGTATTTTGTTAGCAATAGCGATTTCATCCAACTTCCGAATGGCGGGGGCTGGCAGAGGGAAGCGTAACCATGCCATCCAGAGAGCATGCTCACCTGCTGGTTAAATTGCAGAAGAGCGCTGGAAGAGACTTCAAAGAGAAACTGCTCATCAGCTCCCCTGGAGTGCGGCAGGTTCTGTGATTGTGTCGGCTAACGCGGAGGAAAAGGGAGGAAGGGCGTAATAGCAACAGCAAAAAGGCAGTGGAAAAAGCTGATGAGGGCCCACGCTGAGGCTCAATATCCTGAACCGGAGCATTTGGATGGCAGCTCTGTGATTTCATACGTTTGGCCACAGCTAAAGGAAGAGGGGGGAAGTTGGTGCTCCGTGCCTCGGGATGCCTAATGCAGAATTATAATGCAGGGCTAATGAAAGGGACGGTCTGTCTAAACAATAGGTCCAACCTTCATCAGTATGAAACTGAGGCAGCTCCATCATAATCAAGGATGTACTGCAGCCCCAGACCAGCCCAGGACTTTGGCACAGTGATTCCTGTAGGCTGCTCAATCCAAAACCAGTTCTACAGAGCAAGCTCTTAGAACAAAGACCAGCAGGGCAGCATGGCAGTAACAAAAAAGAAACCAAATGAAGGCACAACCCCTTGCTACCAGGACAGATAATCATGCTCAAGAAGCAAAAAGGGGCATTTGGATTGTCCCTTAGCCTATTTCCCCAATTTTCTCATTTCCCCACAATTTTCAAGGGAAATAGTATGGTTCCATCTTACAATGGATGTCAAGAAACCAGCCCGATGCTGTCAGTGAGAGGGTAGCTGTGCCTGCCCCACTTCTGTTCCTGGCCTCAACACGAACCTTCCCACCCATTCCAAGGGCCTTATTTTCCTCTTTTGTCAGCATAGGTCTGGAGTTACTGATGTCAATGTGAAGCTGGAGACAACAGCAGCAGGTATGAAGAGCTTTAGTGGTACGTGTCAGATATGCCATGTAGCACTGCTGCAGTACCCCAGTCCCAGCGGGCAGGTATTCCAGTTTGTTGGCCATATGCACAGAGGATTGCAAATGCTCCGCGCTCTCCAACACCGAGCACTGAGCTCGCTTGCTTGGTGCCGTTAGGCCTCCATTACAGCTGGGGAGGAGAAATCCATTCCCTTTCCTGCTGGCTTCCTTGTCATTCTTGTAGGAAAGGTCTTTCTACCCTGGGTTTGCCTGGATGCTCAGGAATGAAATCCATAGCAGAAAGTCTCTTGTGACACATTCTGAGATGCCTCTTCTTCCTCTTTTAAGGAGCCATTTCATTCGGTGACAAGACATTTTTATCATAATGGTAATTCTCATGTTAGCTTGAGGGAGGGTCTCAACTTGAGGGAGACTGTCCCCAAGTCCCGGCCAAGTCACAGGCTCCGAGATGCTTCATATCACTTGGTGACTCAGCTGGACAAAGTGACCTCACATAAGGTCCCTTCCAGCCCTACTTTCCCGTCATCCTATGATTCCAGTTCCCAGCTGTAGAATGAGGAAACTATTCCCTTTCTCCCATCCTCTATGTCCCTCATTCATTTGGACTGCAAGATCTTCAAAGTAATGGCCATCTGTTCTTACGCATCTGTGCAGCACCTTACTCTCAGCTTGGGTCAGCAGGCCTAACACTGCAAGAAGAAGAATAACTACTAAACAAAAGACTCTGGCATGCGATTAAATATTGCTGTAGTGCCTCAAGGCAGAGCAGGCTGGGCTTCAATGAGCCAAGTACTGTATAAACCTCGGAAACAACAGTCTCTGCCCCAAATTGATTCCAGTTTAAAGACCAAATAAAACATGAAAGAGGCAAGCAGGCCAGTCAAGGCAGGAGAGGGGAAGGTGGGATAACATACATAACAAGAGGCGTGCATGCAACTCTTAGCTAATCAGGAGCCCTGATCACAACTTGCCATCAGACTAGCTGTATAAATATGTACACGAGTCCACGGGCAGTAGAGACAGACAACAGCTAAAGGGTTGTGGAGCTTTCCTTTAATGACATCTCCCATGGAAACCAATCCAGCATGTGACACTAAGATCAAAAGTTCCTGCCTATGACAAATATAATGATTCAAATGTTATTAAAAAAAGATGAAACTCCAAACTTTCAAAATGTCAGTCATCTTCAAAACTTCAAAGTATCGGTATTCGCTGCACCAGCCTCTGCAGAGAAAGAGATAGGAGGGGGCAGCTAAGCCACATCACATATACTTAATGTTCCAGTTTTTAAACATGCTACCTCAATAGGGAATATGTGAATGCACACCCCAGGAAATTACAATGGAGAAGCCCAGTTATCACAGATGACTTGGTGAGAAAAACCTTAGCTAGTCAAGCTGTTTGCTACAGGCAGAAGTGCGTTTTAAACAGCAAAAGGAGACAAAGAAAGTGAAGCCCATTGTGTGAGAAGCCAGGCAGTGGAGTAGCCTGGGCGACACTATGCTTATTCCATAAGGTAAGGCTTCAACTCCGCTAGCCCTGAAATGTATGGATGCAATTATCTATTCTGTTCCAGCGACTAGGATATTAAAAGGTTCCAAACTGTGAACAATTAATTTACAGTAAGATTTACATAAACCTCCACCAATAATTAGCGTCAAGGAGAGGCAGATAAGCATTGCAATTTTATGGGTGTTAGTGCGGAAAAAGTAATTTGCAATTGGCAATGCTGGTCAGGCACAGATGTTTCAGCTGATAGTTCAGCACAGAAAATGGCAGCTCTTGTCAACATCATCTGCAAATGGGGGTCGTAAACAATCTGGAGGAGGAGAGCTATAAACTGGATCCTTAACGGTGGGCTGTGTAGGTAAACTTGGAGACAGATTGAGGACGAGGAGGAGCTCTAAGCCTCCTGAGGCAACTGCGCTCGTCTGCATTATCTTCCGAGATCCCTTCCAGCCTTAATGTCTATTCACAGACATTCATTTCAAATTGGGGCCGATGGTTCTCATTCAGTTGCTCGCCCTTACCCCTGAAGAGAAGGACTTAAAACGTATTATAACATGCCCATCTAAATGGCACGTAGGCAGTGGTGTAGGACCGGATAAGAACTGAAGGTCAAACCAAAACCAACTAGTGAACTGGTCACAAAAACCGTTATCATCCGGGTGGCTTGGCACAAAAGATGCAAGGCATCCATTTGCTTTTGCTTGTAGACTTTTGCAAGTGATGTTATCTACACCCTCCAAGATTCACAGAAGTGCAGGGCTGGAAGGTATCTTGTGAGATCATCGCGTCCAAGCCCTTTACGCCGACCGACCCACCGTGCTCTGGAGTGAAGCATAAGCCCTGTGGCATCATCTGGTCTTTACAAGGTAAGGAAGAGGTTCTGGGGTCCACCTAGGAAAGGGAACTCCCCTCCAGGCAGCCCCAATTGGTCGTGGACCTCCTGGCTTCCTCAAGAGACCTCACTGCTGCTAGGGCCTACTATCCACCTGGGGGATGAAAGTAAGCCAGCGTGTTTGGGCTTGGAAGTCGAACTCAAGCAGGAGTAGGCTCACATACTAACTAAGTCAACTTAACTAAGTTAATTTAAGTTAAGCCACTCTGGAGTATACACACATACACCTCCTTGACGCGGTCAAATAACCCCAGCAAGGAGTGCGTTCAATGAAGTTGACTTAGTTCACAAATTGGCTGCCACCGCGTGCGACCCTTTGGTAGTAAGATACTTGGTTCAGCATTTGGGACAATGAAGACTTCCCTCCATTCCATCACCCACCGAATCCTCTAGGGACAAACTAAACTAAATGTTCTTTCTTTCTGGAAGAATTAAACGAGGGATCACGCTCCGAGCTGGGGAGCTAAGCCAGGAGGACACAGAACCAGGATGCAGTTACCCCCTTCCCTGATTTCATCAACCCGTACCAGGGTTGTAGTGGTATATACACCATCTTTAGCCTTCCACATTCTCAAGTTTTTACTGATTTTTCACTCAAAAAAACAAAAAACAAAACCAGGGAATTTATAAGTATTTGGTTTTACTGATTTACACCCGTTTTTCAGTTCAGATCCCTGTTAACCGGCATGAGAGGGGAATGGGCTGCAGCCGCTGCCTGAGGGCATGGGGCTTCTGACTCCAGGTGGGGTGGGCCGGCTGGGTCACGGGAATAGCTCCCGGGGTGGGTGGGTGTGAGCTGCACCACAGCGGCTCCAGCTTCGGCCCTGCCCCAGGTGCTGGGAGCTGCAAGCCCCGCAGGGGGATGGGGCAGGTGGGAAAGCCCAGCCCCATTCCCTGCAGGCTGGGGCCGGCAGCAGCACTGCGCTCTTCCTGGTGCTCGGGGCAGGTGGCAGCACACTCTCGTCCCACACGCAGATCCGGGGACACGTGCACCCCGGGGAGAGTCCGGCACCGGCCCTCCAGCCCTCCCAGGGGGCACTTAGCAGCAAGAGCCGTGACTCCTGCCCTGCACCCATTGACAGCTCCCCCCGTTTTGCTCCCTGCTGCAGCGCCGGGAGCAGCCAACAGGCTGTGCCGCACCCCTCCCCCTGCCCCTTCCCTAGTCCCAGCCTTACTCCCTCCCTCCCCGCTGATTCCCTTTAAACCATTTTTTTTTTTTTCCCTTTTCTTTTTTTCATCCCAGTTTCATCCTGGTTTTTGTTTCGAAAATAAACCCCCAGATTGTTTTTTGTTTTTGTTTTGTTTTAATAAAACCTGAGAATGCGGAACAATACTCATCTTATAATGGTCCAGGCTTCTTAGCAAGCTTTGGTAACATGACGATTTAAACCCGAAACCATATAACAATAAAACAACTCAAAAAACAAAATGAACCCAATGTAGGTGGCTGCACAACAATTAGAAGCACGGCCAGCAACTCATGAGCACGACTCTACTGTGATAGCAACCTTAACTACACAAGGCGCAAGACGACAATAATCAGGGATTATCTACCCTGGTCAATTTGAAATCATTTTATGGGGATAGTTATTTAGTAGAAGCTCCATGCATACGCTCTTCTCCAGAATCAGAATGCATTTGTTCTAATTTAATTTAAATCACTTCATCTACTGGCTTCAGGAATAAATTATTCCAAAATCATTTCTGCGTTAAATTTCCAAGGGCAGACAACCCCATAGTGATAACCGCCAAAGGTTTGGAAAGCAGGTCAAGTTGAGCCAGAAAGAGTCTGGACATATCGCTGACGCTTCTCTCTATTCAAACCTCATGTCTGCAAAATAAGATAGGGTCTCTTTCTAGGTCAGAGCCTGTGGCAAGATTTTTACCATTTCCTACTTTCAGCACGCCAGAGACATGGTGCATCTAGTTAGACCCTTGCAAGCCCAGAGAGAAATAAGAATCTTTCATGGGACTGTGGCTCCCTTAGGAAGATTGTAACTCGCGGGGAAGTTTATTGTCTCTAAGCAATTAAGAGACTTTGCAGTATTAACTTCAAACACTGAACTTAAGAGGAGTTTGACCTTCAAGAACCAGTTCTGTGACTCCTTTAAAGCTGTATCTCTACCTGATCGTCCAGACGCTCTTTCAGCCATTTGCATGTTCAAAGAACCGTATAAACAAATGTGTACTAATTAATTCTAATCATTCTCCATGTTGAGAAATATTATGCCAGCAAGTAATTATAATGTGCAAGCGCATTGTGAAACACAAGGGAGAGGGAAGGGTTACGTTCACATGGGCAGTCTTCAATTCAGCATTTCTTACCGGAGCATGCAGCTTTCAAGCTCCCTTGAAAGCACTTTTCATGATGTCCTGACACCTGCATGGAGGAAGGAGAAGGACCCTGATCATGCAGTAAGGTTCATACTCGCTCACAGGTTTCTGCGCTCAGGGAACTCGCAGAAGGGGTTCCCAAGCTTGCAGAAAATCAAAACTACTCCACCCATTAAGCATGAGGTGATGCCTCAGTTTCTCCATTCAGTGAAAAGCCCCATTTCCTACTCTTCACAGGTCCTGCTGCTTTTTGCTCCCAGGCCAAGAGCAACAGCAAAGACAAGCAACCTTATGAAGGGTGGAAGGAAGCCTCCCTACCTCCTACAAACGTGGAGCGCAGAGCTGCTCTCAACAGACCGCTACATGAAGTTTTAGTCATCAGGATGTTCTTGACCTTGCTGGTGAAGGAGGTTAGGGGATCTCTGGAGAGTCTGCTCCTGGCAAGTATGACCAAGGGGCTCTGCCAGTATTTCAGCCTTTCCTTATTCATGACCCTCCTGGAATGAGATAAAAATCAGGCTCTAATCCTAAACGGTGTAGATGATCTTCCACTCCCGCCGGGTCCAATCTTGGCTCCCACCAAAATCACTGGCACAGAATGGGCTTGTAGGAGGCACTGGGCCCAATCTTGCACCATTTAAATCAATGGGAATTCTTGCATCAACTCAGTGGGTGTCAAGGACAATCAGCATGTCTCAGAATCGAGCCCTCTTATTTAACAGCGAACTCTAAATGCCTCATCGTAACAAAATTAATGAATATTTGCCCGTTGTAGGGGACACAGTAAAATGTAACCTTTACTGGAATCTTTTCACAAGGACAATTCAAATGTAAAGCTTTCGAAATCTGTTTCCATGAATTCAAGTTCATCTCAATGCTTAACTCATTGAAGGTTTGCGTGATGACTGTTTTTCATTTTGTTTTGTTTCAAATCTGCAGTTTCAGATACTTTCATGGAGCCTCAGCTTCCTCCATTTAAGTTCACAGGCTGCTAATAGCAATCCCATTGAGGGTTCAAGAAAATAAAACATTGTGCTTAAAAAAATATCCATGCCCCTCTCTGGAAGTCTTCCCAGCAGTCTTTGTAGTCTGGCCTTTTCAGCAGGGAACTGGACTAGGAAGCAGAACATCAGGGTTTAGCTCCCCAAGACTTCCTGTGTGACCTTGGCCAAATGTCTTCCTTTCTGTGCCTCAGTTTCCCATCCTCCATCTGATGCACTTAGACTACAAGCTCTTTAGAGCTGTCTCCTACTATGTGTTTGTACAGTGCCAAACATGGAATTGGGACAGTGGCACTGATCGGGGCTGCAACCTTAAGTGCAAGCAAAATGCAAATCATAACGCACTTTTCTTTCATGTAGGGATGCATAGAGGTTTTGGAACAGGGGTTACCCATTATTCTAGTTTTAGACAGTGGTCAGCAATTTATAGTGAAGCTAAGAACATAAAGCAAATGGTTTAGAAAGGCATTTTAGAAGCCTTGGAATTTCACTGGGAATTAAAAAAAAAAAAAAAAAGATTCAGAATTTAAATACTCTACACAATTCATCACATGTAGATCATGAAGTGCTAGACAAGGAGAGGGAAGGGTCCATCCTATTTTACAGATGGAAGGCAGGGTAAAGTGGCACCTTAGAGACTAACTGGTTTAGAAAGACATGAGCTTTTGTAGGCAATAGCCTACTTTGTTAGATGCTATGAAAGCATCATTGTGTCTGACAAGGTCGGCTACTGCCCATGTAAGGTTATACCTGTTTGAACCAGTCAGTCTGTAAGGTGCCACCCTGCCCTGCCTTCTGCCTGACTACAAACTAACATGGCAAACTACCTCTTTCTACTTTACAGGTGAAGTAACAGGAGATATGAAGAAAGGAAGCAACTCAGTCTGGTGAAGCAGATTCTCTTGACAGCGCTAAATGCAGTGGCCCTTCTTGCAATAATCTCAGTGGCACTTTTCCATGCAGGAGGCCTAATACAGTGTGATCGCACAAACTAGCTGGTTCAGATTGAATCAATTGCTCTTACAATCACCAGAGGAAAGGTAGGGGGCCTCGCACAGTAAATTGCAAGTGTTAGTTACTACTTCCAAAAAAGACGAGTGAACTTTGGCTAGAGAAAAATAAGCCCCACTGAGATGCTGAATGCACTGGGAAAGACAGACAACCAGCTCAGCGGTGCAATCTGGAGATCAGCCTGTTTGCATTAATGATTTTCAGCTCAGAGATTGGCAGGGCTAGCATTGAAGAAGGGGTCACAGAAGAAGGAGTCGCTTTACAGTGCCTGCTTGTGAGATGGAAACAAGGGGCCCTCAGGGTTAAGCTGGTTCTTCTCCAAAGAGAGTTGCTGTTCCCTCCCTCTGCACTTAAAATGGATGCTGCTTCCCTGCCAAACTAATCGCTACCATGATGGGCATTTCTGCAGCCCCTTTCATCTGAGGCTTTCAAGGTGCCTTCCACACTGTTAATGGCATTGACCACCCTTTGTTTGCCAGGCTTTCGGGATCTGCTCCCCTAGCATCTGGGAGTAATGGAGTAACACACAGGCAACAGGACTGAAGACCAAAGCGGCACAACTGAAGCGACAAGAGGCGAGTAGCATGTAATGTAGTGAGCTGGAATTTAACCTGGCATAGTGGCTGATGCTGCTGACTCTCTGGAAGATGTCTGTGGGACCTCAAACAGAGGAGCTTGGCAGCCCAAGATTTCAGCCAAAGCCAGGGACCGTGGGTGGGTCAGTGCGTGTTAAAGTGACTGTTCAGTGCTGATGCAGGAGTACCCCATCCTGCACGCCAATGACGGACACAGTCCAAGAATTGGAGTAGCATGCAGCTGTCCGTGGTGCCCAGAAGTCTTCCACCCAGCTCTGCTGGCCTTGAATGGTGCAACTGGAGCATATATATTTGTAACGTTTGCTTTATTCTGCAACATAAGAACTGCTCTTGAAAGCTTGAGCATCTCTCTCCCCTACTGATTTAATCCACCGCAGAGAACGCACAGATTCCCCACACCTTGCTACAAAGGCAATTATCCCAAGCAGCCCCCTTTTATTGGTCTCTGCCCTTGATTACCACTTAGCACCAGGGATGTATATTGGCACAGCTCTGAAAAGAGCAGCTCAGTTTTTAAAAGCCAACTAAGGAAGTTAGCCGCTGAAGTCTCATAACACAGAAGGGAGGCAGCAGAGGCAGCCTGCTTCGCTGCTACGGCGAAGGCCTCTAGACAGCTTTGAAAAATCACAGCGCCTATTAGTCATCTGCTGTTGCAGAGCCAGAGCAGTGAAGCACAGGAGCACAAAGCAAGTTGCGTAGGTCCTACATAAATAACAGCTTTGTCTGCCTGACACTTTTAGTAACCATGGGCTGGATTTGATCCGATTTTTAAAATCTGAAGAATTTTCCCTATTTGAGAGACAAACATTGCAATGTAAAAGGCCTCGATTCAGCCTAGCATTTGAGCACATGCTTAAAGCACGTGCTTATGTATTTTGTTTTGCTTTTTTAAATAAGGATGAATGTAACTTTAAGCATATAAACCAGCGCACACAAATTCTTGAGACAACCGCAATGTTTGCCTCTTTTGTAATGTGGCTGTGTTAACACACTTGAAAGAAAGAGAGAACACAGTACAGTCCTGCTGCAATGGGATTGCTAAACTCAGTTCAGCTTCCTTGGGAGCAGTGTCAAGCCCATTATGAACATGCACAGGTGGTTTCTTGCAACCAAGCGAAGAATTCGGCATTTGATGAATCTGAGACATGAAGAACAGATGTCTACAAGAAGCGTTGCAAGAGCCTTCCCCAACAGCAGAGTTCACTCGCGAATCCCACTGCAGGTTGCAGCATGTCATCCGTGTTTTATTTGGCTTTTACAGGCAAAGCACACATACTCTCGTCTCCAAGCAGACAGGCCCGCTGACTTGGAGCAGCCCAGTATGTTTTTGTTCAGTGCAGAGACGGCTCCGTACCAGCAGGACTGATGACACAACTGGTAGGCTGGAATACTTCAGGTTCAATGTTCTCTTTGGAGCAAGAGACAAAGCCATGGGCCAAATCCTCACTAGCAGAAATCAGTCCACTTCTGCAGAAATCAGCACACTATACCAATTTACACCAGCTCAGGGCCTAGTCCCATATTCTAGAGTCAGTCCAACAGTGCTAATGCACCAAACACCTCACGTTGGCCCGCATGCAACAGCAGGAGCACACGCACTTTTAAAAATTATTGCTGCATCCAAATAAGCCCATCTGCTCCCTTTTCCCACCCTGAACTTGGTTTATCATGTACTCATGGTAGGTAATCCTGCAAACCCTTTTTACCTACCGCTGGCAGGTAGCCCAGTGTCCGTAGTAAAGGACTTCAGTAGAGCACTTCTCAGACAGCAAGTGCTATGTTTGGTAATTCCCAGACTCCATCATCAACAGTCTAATTTCTACAGTCTAACATATGATGGGCCAGTGTTTTTCACGTCTCTCTGGCCAGCACAAGACAATTAGGACCAAGCGTAAAGCAGAACAAACCAGCTAGGCAATAAGAGAGTGCCCTTAAGCACTGCTGATCACTGCTCAGCTCAGCCTAGAGAAGAGGTCACATGTGCGTGAATGGAAAGCACCAGGAAGGGTTGTAGGTAGATACAAAGCACACCTGGTTGCAACTAGTAACCATAATTAGCCCACTTCTGGCTAACAATTGTGACATGTTAATGGAGAAATTAATGTTAATACCTCAAAGAACGAATGAGAGAGATACATGGCCTGGCAAGGACACTGAACTGGGACTGGGGGAACCTGGGCTCTCAATTTGCTCTATGATTTGGGACAGATTAACTTCACCCCTCTAGCCTCCATTTCCCTGCTTCATCTTTGCTTGCTTACCTATTTAGAACCAATTTCTTTGAGGTCTCTTGCTATGGGTATGCACTGGGCTTAATACATTTGGGGGGGGGGGAGGAGTCAGGCATCATTTGAGGCCTCCAGGCACCCCCACAATAAAAATAAAAATTGAATACAAGTCCTATATCAATGAATAACGACAGACTTAAAACTACCCCCCAGAATCAAGAGGAACTCTGCCTGCTGGTATAACATACCATGAAAAAAGGATGCTTCCATTCTTCTGTTACATACCTGCTTTGCTATCATGCTTAGCATTTGCCTTTCTAAAATGCTATGGGGCAGATTTTCAAAAGCATTCAGCACTCCCTCTCACTGATCCCAACCCGAGCTGGACACCTAAGCCACCTCTATAAATATGGTCTTTTTCCAGGACGTTGCATCATATTCATTCCAGAACTCCCACTCTGCAAATTTAGCAATACTCCTTTATTTGGGAGTGAAACAATATGTATTGGTAAAATTCAAGTATTCTAATTTAGTATCCATTTCTTCATGTACTTCGGAGCCATCAAAAAAATTCAGACTCATTTCCAGATTAGAGGATGGAAAAGCAGGCTTTGCAGATCTTAAATCCTTGCAGGCTGGACACATGCATCCCAACTGCGGAAACATCAATTCTAAGGAACTGAAGAAATCATCAGTATCTGTTTGGGC